TGACCCACAGACCCCCTGTCCCTGCTGGTGCCCCTCACTCCCAAGCCACATCCCCCCCATCCCTGCGGGATCCACTCACTCCCAACCTGCAACCCCCAGCTCTCCCCAGCCCTGCTGGAGGGGGCACTCAGCTGCCCAATCCCAACTGAGCCCCAGAGCAGTGACTCCAATTTGTGCAGGCGGTGGCAGAGTGAGTCCAGCTCCAGCACAGGCTAGAGGGAAGAGAAGGGAAGGCCTATGCCCCCCCTCTCCTGGGCTGGGGCTCCTGTGCCGTGCCAGTCAGCCTGGCCACGGTCCCCATCCCTCCCAGACAGCACCTCCTGGCTTCCCCACCCTCACAAGCATGGGCACTGGCCCTGGTGCCTCTGGCCCAGCCACAGAGCTCCCTGCTGCCTCCAAAGGGCTCGTCTGCTCCCTTCTGTTGCTGGAGGGCAGGCACCATCCCCCTCCCAGCCCTCCTGCCCTGCTGCAGCCTGAGCCCAGACAGCTTCCCCCAGCACTGTCAGACACCCACTCGTCTCCACACTCCACCCCCTGACAGTCCCCAAGCCCTGGCCCTCTAACCCCCGCTCCCATAGACTTACCTGCATCCAGCTGCTGGGGCTGCTCCCACCACCCTGCCTAACTGCATGCAGCCACGTGTGTGTGCATGTGCAGACGTACACAGTGCCCCCTGCCTCCAATAGCCCCACCAACAGAGCAGAGCAAAATCCCAGACACTGGTTCAGATTTCAAAAAACCACCCAGATGGAAATGGGAGGATCCAAAAAGAGATCATGTCCAGGAAAACCCAGTTGTATGGTAACCCTATTTTAATCAGATTTAATAGAGGATGGTGTTAGAAAGCACAATCTTAGTTGGACTGAAACTGCTATATTTATTTTTATTTAAGTTAATACTGTATGCAAGGCACTAGAGTCAAACAATCTCTTTGTGATTTTTTTCCATCTCCCTATATATTAGTGAGGCATATATGTGGTTTTTTCACCCAGCTTTGCTAGTCTTCAGCTGATCACTTTACCTTCTACTTCCTATTCCTCAAAGTGGTACAGGAAGAACCAGCAAGGATTTTGGGGAGGGGCCAGGCAGGTCTCTCAGCTTCTCCTTGTGATCTTGTGTTTCTGCTACAGTCTGTGTGGGTTAAAACTGGGACCTTACAGTGGTGGAGAAGCTGGAAGCCTCATAAATGGATGGACGTTCGAGTGGCTCTTGAGCAGTTCACTGGGAGTGATGGAGTGCGAGATAGCATTCTGTTCATCTACTACATGCATCATGAGGAAAAGAAGGTGTGTACACCTAACAAAATGTGATCCCAGTCTTGCATTTGATAAAAAGGAAATCTGTGGATACAAAAGAGAGGGTTGAGTGGCTTGGAGGATGGGCATTTTCATAAATGACTTTTCTCGTCTCTAGGTTACCAGTTCAAAACTGATCCAGGGCATTAGGGAGTGAAAATTCTTTCTGATACTTGTTTCGGCCTCCTGTTAAAAAGTATTTCAGTGAGTGGGTGTCTACAGAAACCACCATGAGCATTATATCAATTAACAGTATTGTTGATAACCCAGAAATAGCCCAGTTCTTGATGCCTGGCAAGAGGAGTAGGGTTGATGCATGGTGATGGAGTGGTCCAGAAGATAGATAGGACCTCTGTCACACAGAACCATAAGGCTAGCCCCATTTCCTTAGCACTTGCAACCAAAAAACAAGGTTCCATCCAAGATGAGACTGTGTCCTTCTTCTGTTCTAACCAGGGACTGCATAGGGCTGTCTTATACTGAATTTGAGGGAATCTTTCCATGAGTTTGCCTTGGTTGCAATGCTCTTTTTACTGTCTCAGTACATCCATGCGTTCCTGAATGAAGTCACCATTCTGGTTGAAGTTTTGAATGACTCCAAACACTCCTTTGCCATGTACACACCTGAGAGAACGAAGCAACGGTGGCCAATCCGCCTAGCAGCTGCCACGGAACAAGAGATGCATGACTGGGTAACCGCCAATCTGGTTCTTTGTTAGCACTTGGGTTGTGTAAGTTCTGAGCATTAGGCTTGCAAGATTTGGCTCTTTGGCCATTTCTACATTGGAGAAACCAATTTGGGGGGCATAGGATAATCCACCTATACTACAGAAGTGATGCTGCAGCTAATTTGACACTACAGTAAACATCTGAAGCTGCCTGTTATCTCTAGTGCAAGTGATCTCATGAAAAAAAAACATTCTCTTGGTGTTATCCTCTGAAATCCCCTAATGTAAGCAAGGTCATAGAAACCACAGACAGAAGTTGTGGCACGGTCACCTCAGCCTGTCCTTTCTTCAGAATTGTAAGTAAATCCAGCACTGTGCAATGGCCAGAGCTACAGATAACCTTAACAACTAAGGTTTGCTCTGCTCTGTGCAGATGTTATACTTCTAATAAAGAGTTTAATCTGGTAGATCAGGGGTTAGCAATCCAAGGGCTGGATCTGGCATGTGGAGCTAGTGGATCTACCTGTCTTGGTGGTGAGGGGCTTTTCTGGGCAGTAGAGAAGCAGTGGCAGGGGAGAAGTGGGGGCCAGGTCCTACGGCTGGCCCACCTTGGATCTGAGCTGGCTTATTCTGACCCACATCCAAAAACCATTGCTGGCCCCTGCAGTAAGCCAAAACTTTCCTGCTTTTCTCTATGCATTGAGCTGGGTGTCTGCCTGACTACTGCTCTACTGCACAGAGATTGCTGAATTTCAGCAGTAATGACAGGGTTTATGTTTGCGCACCTCCACACATTCTGAAACATTTTGGGATCCTGCAAGGTGCAATATACATATCAGAGTCCATTAATCGCATCAGTAGTAATGAACTGTGATATGTTTGATCTGAACTCCGCTAGTTCACCACAGAGTTTTAGGAGTTTAGAAGGTTAACATCTTTTCTCTCCCTAGCACTAGATCATTAGTGTTAGATAAGAAATGTGTTAGAACATTAAGACCATGACCTACATCTAGCTCTTCGTTCCGTCCTTGTACCATAGCTTGCTTTGCTGAGCATGTCCTGCTGTGAAAGCAGACGGATTCAAGGCCCTCCTTCCCATCACGCAGTCTGGTCAGTCACATGCAAAGGAGACATCTTTGTTAGTGAGCCGAGCCCAGAACTGGAGGCTGCACCACACCTGATGCCGTGTGACCAAATGTAAGACATTTCTGACAATGCCACTTGCTAGTGAGGGTATCATGAAGCCAGAATTTTCTTTAATGGGCAAGTCATTGGTTTTACACACAGCATGAAATGCACAGTATGCTGCTGATGTCAGCCAATAAATATTTCCCTTCATTCTCGTAAGTGTCATGAAGTTTCCTAGGATCACATCGTAGTTTTCATATATTTGAGCCGTGTATTATGACTCTGATCTATCTGATCTCATTGAGTGTAACCTGAAACAACTTGCAGGACTGAGCCCTAAATTGTCATAGCCATATAAATGGATGGTATATTCATTATTCATTTATCAACTCCATTTATAATGTGGAAGCTGATTATTTAATAACCCTTAAGTCAGAAAATCTGGAGTCCCAAATCCTGTATTGTTATGCAGGGCAGAAGAGGCTCCATAATTATGGTAAAAATCCTTATAAGAGCATCATAATTAGTCATTTAAAAAAAAACAGACAAGAAATTTAACAAACCAGGACATTTAGAGTTGAATTTTAATGAGAGTGAAACATTTGGAAGCCTGCAGGGTTGCAGTAAAAGCAGTCAAGCTGTCTGGAGTTACTATACATAGCAGACCAAAGGAAGCATTCTTAACTGCTTAGACCAAAGCTGATTGGGCTGACCTTTTTCCTTTGCCCTTACACAGTCAAAATTCAGGTGTAACAGAAAATGTGCATTGCTCATGAGTATGCTTATGAATGGATTTTAAAATGTTGTCTCTTCCCTTCAGGTTTTGGCGTCAGATAGGAGGGCATCTCCGACTAATAGAATGCAATAGCCAGGGCATAGTGTGGGGCATAGGGTACGATCACACAGCCTGGGTTTATACTGGTGGCTATGGAGGAGGCTTCTTTCAAGGTAAGGAAGAATGTTTCTTCCACCATGGTGTTTAAAAGTCCCTGTGTGACATCAGCAGAACCAGTTATTTCAATCTTCCATTCTTGTAGCTCTCTTCTCTGTAGAGTTTTGTGACGGGCAGATCCCATCCCTGCAGGGGAAGTGGGCTTTATATCTTGGTCTCAAAACGAGCAATAAAACATTCATAAGTGTTGCTGTATACCTGCCAGAATTGAGACTACGGCACCTTTCACACGTTTTCTTTCCCTAAAGTTTTGGCATTGCTTTTAATCCCAGTGGTTTAATTCCTGCAGGACTGGCCAGTAGTGCTGATAATATTTACATGCAATCAGATGTCAAATGTGTTTATATATATGAGAACCAGCGGTGGAATCCAGTCACTGGATATAGTAGCCGGTAAGTTATATTTTATTAAATAAAAAGCATGTAGTTTTATTACATTACTCCATCCAAGGTATTTTTTAGAACTCATTTCATGGGTCGTCTCTAATATTTAGTATTAAGTTGGGTTGGAAAATACATGGTCTTTGAGGTCCTAGTGTTGTCAGTGTTCGTTACAGAAGGCATGTACAGCAATGTTACTCATCTTACGAATGCATTTCATACACTCATCAGGAGCTCTTGAAGAACAGGACCATGTACACTGTGCACTGCTCAACAGAATGAACCTTTGATCCTGACTGGGGCTCATGGGCATTACATTTAATAACCTGTTATAACATTCTTTAATAACATTCTTTCATGGTTTAATATAATGGGAGCCAAATCAGCTTTGCCCTTGCTAAACAAGGAAGACAACATTTTCTTCACACTGTAATAGGTTAATACATCTTCTCGTGATGCACGTAATAGAATATAGATGGATGAACAGAATGCTCTCTCACACTCCATCACTCCTGGTGACTAAAAGTAATGTTGACTGAAGTGCTTTTTATTGTGTCTTGCATTCACTCTATATTTCTTAATATTTAGAGAATCTAATGACTAAAGAGTGTGTTTAACATATGAGTGCAGGACATACTACCTGAAAGAGAAAGATTCTATTATCCTTTAACATTCTCTCTGTTTGTATGCTGTTTGTTACAGGGGTCTGCCCACAGATCGGTATATGTGGAGCAATGCATCTGGTTTACAAGAATGCACAAAAGTTAACACAAAGCCTCCATCGCCACAGTGGTCTTGGGTAAATTTTGTTTTTAAATGAATTCTTTTTAGAAGAATTAATGTTAGAAAAGTAATGTCTACTGAATAGACCCCCTGGACTGCAAGTTTATTCCTGACTTTGCCATAACTTGTGTCACTTAAACCTCAATTATTCCCTGTCCATAAAATGAAGATAATCTTTCCTACCTCCATTCAATGTTCTTGGAGTTCTTTAAGAATCCAAACCTAAATGTTTATAATACCATGGGACCCAAGAATAAAAAGTGCTCTTGATATGCCAAGTTGTACTACAAGTATTATTGCAGTATACTCTGCAGCAGGTAAAGTGCAAAAGATGGACAGTAAACATTAAAAAGAAATTCCCATGTTATACTTTTGCTTTCTGTCATGCTTCTGTTTAAATTTAATTCCCTGGCTGTAGGTGTCTGACTGGTATATTGATTTCAATGTCTCTGGTGGAACTGACCGAGAAGGCTGGCAGTATGCTGCAGACTTTCCAGCGTAAGGAATTTAATTTTTTGTACTTAATATCCTGGGTGCCAGTGTGCCATGTTTAACCCCTGAATACTTAATATGTGTTCATTTTCCATGCTGTGTTGGCACCTTGATTTTTCCCTCACTGTAAAATGAGGGGGAGAGGACTGACTATGGAGCATGTCTGAATTCCAAGTATTACTCTCTATAGATGTTTAGAAGGTAGACAGTAGGTAAAATGTAAGCCCCGCAGGACAAACCAAATGTTTTCTAGTATTGTAAGGTGCACATGTTTTTCTGTAGTGGGTAGTTTATCACTGACCCAGGCCAATGCACGCGTATCTTCATAATGCTGTATGTTGGAAGTTAGGGGCTAAATACAGATACTAAAACAGGCTGAAGCTGAATCAGTTCAATCTTCACAGGTTAGTCTCAGCTGTGTAGATTGAACTGATAAGCAAGCGAACAGACATTCATTTTGATTCCAGAAATACAGCCACGTGCATGCAGTAGCTCAGGCCAGAAGCTGGGGGGTGGCGGCAGATGCTAGAGCATGCTTCCCTGCTTAGCTGGAGCAGACAGATTGAGCCAAACCTAGTTGCCCACCCTGCCAGGTGGGGAGGAGGGTGTTGTGGGGGAGGTCCCACCAAGCATCCTGGGATGCTTATAGATTCATAGGTGTTAGGGGCTGGAAAGGACCTCTCAAGATCATCAGGTCCAGCCCCCCTGTGCTTGGGCAGGAAATACTTCTGGGGTCATGTGACCCCAGCAAGGTGAGCATCCAGATGTTTTTTGAAGATATCCAGAGTAGGTGATTGTACCACCTTTGGGGGGAGTCAATTCCAGACTGTGGACACTTGAGTTGTAATGAAAATTTTCCTTATATCTAATCTAAAGTGGTCTTCTAGCAATTTATGACTGTTAGTCCTAGTCTTCCCCTGGGGAGCCCTGATGAACAGATGTTCTCCCAGACCCTAATGTGGGCCCCTTATATACTTATAAGCTGCTACCAAGTCCCCGCTGAGTCTTCTCTTTTCCAGGCTAACCAGACCCAAGTCTCTCAGCCTCTCATCGTATGGCCTGCTCTCCATGCTGTGGAGTTAACTTGAATCTGGAGGGGATCTGGGACAGAAGTTCAGTAAACTGATTTAATCTAAATCAGCTAAGTCTGATACTATATCCATCCAGGTTTATGTTAACCCAGTGTCAGCCATTTTGAAAGTGGTTTGCATGCACTGAACTTCAGTTTTGTTACAGATCTGAACCAGTTTCCGATTGCTTATGCTGGTTTATGTTTAACTTCTGTCCCTAGCCAGGGAGAGTTTTGCACAAAGAGTAGGATAGCAAATAACAATGGGCTTAAATAGACCCAGTGCCAGCAATCAATACCTGAAATCAGAAGGATTTCAGAATCCTTACAGTCTTATTAAGCCATATATCTTCTTTGATAGATCCTACCATGGCCACAAGACAATGAAAGACTTTGTACGACGGAGACGCTGGGTAAGGTAAGGGACTAAGATAAAAGATAATTTCAAAAGTTGCCTGCTTATTCCCTGAAATATCTTGCAGTTCACGGGGAAAACTTCTGTCTACTCATTTGACAATCAGTACAAAAGATATAATCTGCAGTGGGGCAGTCTGTAGTCTTTAGCAACTATTTGTATTGTATTTTTCATTCCAGGCTTTATGAGCAAATATCATCAAGGTTTTAAGTGCAACTCTGTGAGATCTTTAAGCAAAAAGACATAAAGGTTGACTATATGACTAGTGCACATTGTTACAAGGTTAGCCAGGTCAGTAGATTGCTTATAACCAGTGATGGGAATTAACTTGTTAATTAACTAGTTAAAGAAATGGCTAACTTTTAACTTTAACTAGTTTTTAAAAAAGGTTAACTTTAACTTTTTTTAAAGTATAAGTTAAAAGTAAAAAAAAAGATTAAATCTGACTTTCTCAGAGTTTTTCCTGACAGCCACTCTCTAGGACTTGCATGTAACGATATTTCTTTATTGAAACTCTAGGACTTCTTGTTTGAGACAGAGTAGTGTGCTTTCCTATGAGATATGGTCTCTTAAGAACTACAAGTCCCAGAGTTCCTTAGTTTGTGCTGGCATTTTCTGTGCATTTGCAGAAGTCAACAGGGCAGCCAGTTGGCTGCAGAAGAGGGAACAAGCACATGCAAGCAGTGACATTGATCCCAGTAAGGTTGGGAGCAAGTAGTGAGAGTGAAGCAGATAATGACTTAATTTTAATGAAGATCAGAACCAGCAGCCCAGGCCCTAAGAAGATGAGCATTACTTCTCATCTGTGAGAAACTTATCTGAGATGTCACCTGCTATGAAAAAACTATTCATCTATTATAACACAAGCATTCGCTCATGTGCCCGTGTAGAGCGATTGTTCAGCAGTGGGGGCTTAGTTTTGCAAGACAGAAGAGGAAAATTGTCAGATGTAAATTCTGAAATGCAGCTTTTGCTGAAATTCAGTAAGCATGGTTAAAATTTCTGCTATGCAATTGAACCTTTTTTCTCATTTAAACTGATTTTCTCATTTCAGTCTAATTTTGATTTTCAGACGCTTTCATTATTTCTAATTCAGATGTATTTCATACCCTTTTGTTACCTTTTTGGGGAATAAAAACTGTAACAACAAAGGTTTTCTGTGGAAACAGCTTTCATTTGTCACCTGGCTATGAGTATCTCCTTTCTGTTATTCTGGTATACCTATATGATGCATTGACTTTTATAAAGTACTTCACATAGAGAGGGTGAGAAGGATCTAATATTACATAGGTATTGGTAAATTATTAGTCTGAAAACCATATGACAACTATAACATTGTCTTCAGGTAAAGCAGGGTGAGTTCTAAGTAAATTAGGGGGCTTCTGTGGGCTTATGGAAAAGAAACCCACTCATTGCATTTGAAAATGAAAAACGATGCTAAGAGGCAATTCACCGTGTTTCACGCATTTCTCACAAATCATCTTTAACTTTTAGCTAGTTGCTCCTTTTTTAACTTACCTTTTAACTAGCTGAAAGTGGAAATATTTAACTTTTAACTTAACTCAAGTTAATTTTAAAGGCTGCTGACTTTTAATTTTAACTAGTTACAGTTTTCATAAACTTTTCCCATGAGTGTTTATAACCCTGCTTTGCATGCTAATAGAATTACCCGGCTATAAACTTGAATGCAAGCAGAAACCACCTACTAAGTAACTGATGACTTCTTAACATCGATTTAAACCAGACTACGCTCTGATTGGCTGGAAACAAAAAAGAGAAAACCACCATTGTATTCTAGTTTAAGCAGGAGGAACCTACGTACCCCAGCATTTCCAAAAGGAACTTGGGCTAACATTGAATAGCTTCAGTTTCCCTGGGTGCTTTCTTGTGGCAAGCTATCAAACAGGTGCGCTCATAAGGGCTGTAAGCCTACAAATTGCATGTTGTTCCCCTAAACATTTGTTTTGTGCTTGCAGGGCCAATGTTTTGGCTCTGGACTTGTCTCTTCCTTCTCCTCAGCAAAGCCCAAGGGCCTTAAACTGTTGTTTTATTGTACATCCTGTAACTGCAGATTGCATTCAAACACTCTAAAGGGTGATATGACGTAAGTCAAGTTGAGAACCATCCTTAGGGGCAAATGTTTCTGTCAGGGTACAAACTTACATTTGAAAGCAAACAGGAAACTGCTTAGGGCTACATCCTGGTTTCAGGCTGGAGGAAGGAGGAATGCTGTTTATTTTTTTGGCAGTGGGGAGGTAACTATTCTGATGATGAACTTTAGTGCAGCTTCCCTAATATGCTACTTGCTTGTATATCCCTAATTCCATACTTTTTTCTTTTTTTTGGTGGAAACTGAAACAATGTTGCTTTCCAGAACAGTCCATTAAAAGGAGCTTTTTCTGTATCTCTTAATGGGAAATTGCCCACTTTCCCTTCAGCATGCTAACTGCTGTTCCCACAGTGCACAAACTGTTGTCTTTGGATAGCCCCTTCCTGAATCAAGTAATGAAGATGCTCCCACTGCCAGTACAGAGGAGGGAATGGACCAGCTGCAGAGTTTTGCTTTCTGCAGTGGAGTCCTCAATCTCTTCTTTGTCTTGATAAGCTTGGCTATGATTAAAAGGGAGACAGGAAAGTAGAGCAAGCTGCAGACTCCTTCAAGGCCTTGCTTTTGCTTTATTAAAAATTTCTGACAAATTACCACTCTTGTCCTGATCTGATATGCTTCAAAACTTGATCCAAAAACACCATACTGTTTGGTGTCAGCCCTCTTGCAAACAGGAAACACTAGCTTGCATAATGTCCATTGAACAAAAGGGTCTGGGGATTATTTCTGCCTGAACTTTAACCACTTCTGTCAACAGTGGAGAAAATCTAGTGGAGAAAGTACATATTCCTAAGACATTGTGTTTTTTCTTCTTCAGAAAATGTAAAATAGTCACCAATGGGCCATGGCTGGAAGTGCCTCCCATCACCCTGTGGGACATCTCCATAATCCCCAGTTTGGCTGCAGATGAGGAAGACTCCATAGCTGTCTGGGCAATCAGTGACAAGGGAGACGTGCTCTGCAGGCTTGAAGTAACGGAACAAAATTCAGCCGTGAGTCTCCTTGTTTATCTTTACTGTCTCGTTTATATATAATTAGCGTATGTCGGCATTCAGTCACTTCTTGTTCTCTCAAGTTACTTCTCTGGTTGTTTTCCCCTTTGTGCTTCAGATTTGAAGCTCTGTGCCCTCCTATGTAAACCCCGTTATTCTTCAGCTGCCTTTTCCTGTTGCAACCTTTTTCTGGCCCTATACTGCTCAGTCTCCATCCTCACCTAGTGCAACCTCCTAGGCTTGGAACAGCTTCTCTTCTACCCCATATCCCGCCCTAAGACCCATTTCCTTCTCTTCCCTTTCCATCACTGAAGGCTCTCCTACTACCTTCTCTTTGAACTGCTGGTAATAATCTGATTTAGATACTAAGCTGCTCCAAAGAGGACTCTGTTCAAGTTGTGGCTTCACTTGAAAACCCACTGAAGTCAGTCTTTCCATTAACTTCACAGGACTCTGAACTGAGCCCTGTTTGTTATGTAAAGACCCAAAATCACCTACAAGTCTTAATATAATTAGCAATAGAATCACATTTATTTACAAACTGGAGAAAAGACTACAACACAACTTTCTCAATCCAGTAAACAGTACAGTGGTCTTCAGTAAGACTACTTGCACTCTCAACATTAAGCATGTGGTTACCAACTTTACAAGATTAGGACCAAGATGCATTATTTTACAAAACATTTGTTTCTAGACCTGGCCAACATTTTTCATTTCTTTTCATACTTAAAGTTTTGAAAAAAGTAAAAAATGAATATTTTCTGGGTTTTTTTCTATTAGTTCTGTCTAGGAATTGTACTAGTTATGACTGAAATCTTAACACCCTTACAGAAAAGTTTGCAGAACTGAATATTGGATCTCAGCTATAGAATAATCTGAACAAAAGGGTATTAAAAAGGGTCTCTGGCCCAGATCATCATAGATATTTGGGCATCTAACTACCACCAGTTTTAACACACAGGGCACTTCTACACATGCAAATGCTGTAGGGTGGGTTTGCTCTACAGTAAGTTACTCTAGAGTAAACCCACCCCAGGCAGGCATCTATACTTGCGGGGATGCAGGAGCAGATTTGTTGCTTCTGGCAGCAGTCTGCTCCTGCCCCCTCCAGCCTCTAGTTCTAGGCTCCCCCTGGGTGCTAGCCCAGGGGCTGGGAGGGAACATGGGGCAAAGAGACTGCTCCCTGCCCCTGAGAGCTGTCACTGAAGCCCTGGTGGGGACAATTTCCCTCCGCCCCAGCATTTGGGAACTCCCAGCCCTAGCTCCCCAACTGGGGCAGAGGGCTTGGAAAGAGCTGCAGGGGAGGGGCAGGTTATTCCCCACCCAGCTAGGGGCTCTCTGCTAGATGCCCCACTGGCAGATCAGAGCAGGGACTTGCCGCCCTCCATCCCTCCCCTCAGCTGTTTTCAAGCCTCGTGCCTCAATCGCCCAATCAGGGCATGGAGCTGGGACCTGCCCCTGATTGAGACAGTTCCCAGCCAGCCCCAGGCTGCAGGGGAAGTCTCTAAATGCAGCCTGGAGCTGGCTGAGGGTGCCCCGTGGGCAGGGAGTGGGGGCTGGGAGCTCCCTGATGCCAGGGCAGGGGGACATTGTCCCCACCTGGGCTTTGGTGCCAAAATCCATCCTGGCAGCAGGCAGCTCCCAGGGGCAGGAAGCGATCTCCTGCCCCCTGCTGTCCAGCTGACCGGGAGCAAGTTTGCTCCCTTGTCAGCTGTCTACGTGTGCCGTACTGTGCAGTAACTAATGTGAGTAAATTTGCTATTTGTATTTATAGGTAGCAAATTTACTCACTATTAGAGCATATTACTATGCAGTGAGTGTCTGCATGTGTAGACAGTGATGCTTACTGTACAGTAATTTGCACTAATATTGAGTAAAGCATCTCGCATAGAAACGCCCACAGAGTCAAATTTTAAGCTCGCCAGAGTCACTGATTTTACTGGGAATTTGGCAACTAAATAAGTTTTTAACCACCTGGGCCTCTGTTTCTAAGTCAAATGGTTTAATAAAAACTATTTTTCAAAAGCTATTTTATTTTCTAGGATTCTTTTAATCAGGTGGTGAGTAGTCAATAGGCACATAAAATCATTTGGTTCTCTAAAAGGTTTGTTTTTACAAAACTGTTGTCATTCCTTAGGGAACATCCTGGCTTCATGTGGGAACAGATCAACCCTTCATTTCAGTATCAGTTGGAGCTTTTTACCAGGTCTGGGCCATTGCTCGAGACGGCTCGGCATTCTACCGTGGCTCAGTGTCTCCTAAAAGACCTGCAGGTGAGTGCTGTCCTCTGCAGCAGGGCTTCTCACAGTGAAAGGATAATGAACCAAATGGGCGCAGGGCTGAGATATTTGAACGTTGTCACTGCAATACCTGTGAGGCTGGTACAGTCTAAACGGCGTACCCTAACTTACATTCACGTGCATTAAAAAGCATAAAGGTAATGTGCACAGACCCATGGAATGTATTGCTCTTTCTTTGCTACACAGCTGGGTAACTTCTTCAAAAGCCAAGAAAAGTTTCCTAGCCTCCCCTACCAGGCTGTGAAAGATATCCCACCTTGAATTTCTCAATCCAAACCCCTAGGAGGTCAGATTAGAGAGAACCAGGAAGTATTCCACCCACCAAAGTGCTGAAAATGCTGAGTTAGGAAAAGGAGATGAGAAAACATTGCTTTGCCTGAAGCAGATTCTAACTCTCGAGGCGTAGTTCGAGAGGGAGTGCTTTGGCTATGCCTGCCTTTACTGCCAGCACCTCTCATATCACCTAGTCATATTTTGCTGTAGCCAGAAAAGCTGTAAGACCTTGGGAGACTCTTTTTAAGGTGGTTTCTGCCAGAGCTCCTATCATACCCTTCCCATCAGACAAAAGTCTTTTTTTCCCCACAGCTTATTTTGCCAGTTTAGACTCTCACAAATTCCTATGATTTCAACAAAAGAATTTGTAAAAGTAGCAACAGGAATTTTCAAAAAGAAGTCCAAAAATCAGTGAAAACCCAGTCTTATTAAATCCCAAAGCTCCTCTGAAAAGCCCAGCCACCATCCTTTTATTCAATTATGAAAAGACTGCATGGGGTCCAAACTGATAGGAGGAGCAGCTTTTCCCAGATCATATGCCTAGCCACACAAGATTACTATTTATCTTTGCACAGGTGTCTACTGGGGAAAACTTGACTCTCTTCAGTAGAGATGGGTATCAATAACTACAATACATATATATGTAGGAAAGCAGTGCCTGAAATACTTGATCTACATGAGAGATTTCTTTCCAACAGACAAGCAAAATGGTACATTGAAAAGTAAACATTTTAATGAGGACACTTAATTTTCTACTCACTTCACATGGCTGTATGTTACGAGAAAATAGTTGTTCTGCATCACTATAAAGCCTGGCTAGTAAATGCATGATTCACCTTTGTCTTGCATAGATGGGTATTTTTATGCTTGTGAACCTCCAGTGTCCAATACAAAGCTTATTTGGTATATTGCAATATATTTTTATTGCTGTTTTTTCAGCACCTCCTTCAATTATTTCCAACTTCTAGGTGATTGTTGGTATCATATTCCGTCACCTCAAAAGCAGAAATTAAAACAAGTCTCAGTAGGAAGGACATCCGTGTTTGTGTTGGATAAAAATGGTGAGTTGTCTTTATTATTTATGTTACTAAATGTCAACCACTGAATGACCCAACAGAGGTCTGACTGTTTTAAAATGAGGCTTGGAGCCAGATATTCAACTGGTATAAATTGGCATTGCTCTACTGAAGTCAATGGACTATGCTCACTATCCGGTCCTCTGTCTGGGTAGTCTCTCACATCTATGTTTGTATTTTCACATACCTAGTACCATGGGGTGTTTATACACATGCTCTGGGAGACTGTGTGCGCGCATGCAGGGGGGATGCTTTAATTAGAGCAGCTTGGAGCGTCTCGCGTTTCAGAGTCCCTGCACTTCAGAATGGCAGCGGAGGCGCTTTATCTAAAGCTTGTTGAATGAGCTTTAGATAAAGAGCCCCAGCCGCTTGATGCTGATGAGATATTGGAGGCTGCTGGAGCACAGTAATTGCCACACTCCAGCAGACTC